CCCCCCCCCCCCGATATTTCAAATGGTATTTTCACCCCTTTAATCGACGGAACTATTTCTAAAAGGGATAGAAAACTCTAGAACTCTTGAGGGGGCAACCAGAACTCTACTTATTTTTTCAATTTTTGGAAAAAGTGAGGCCAACTTCACAGAGGTGTTGTCGCCTCCCATTCTGTTCAGGTCCAATTATTTTGTTTCCAATAATTCCCTCCCAAATATTTAATTTCCAGCGAACTTGGAAGCTTCTTTCTCTAATTAAGAAGGGATTTTCCGTTGTCCAGTAATGCGTATTATGTGCATTAAACAATCCCTCTCGAGTAAATAGAGATTCATCGGAAAATAGGATTCGGCCACAAAATGTATTGTCCCTGTTGTTTTCTCGCACTAACCATCGGCAAAATTCGAGACGACGTTCAGCGTCACCTTCTCGAAAATGTTGCACCTTCGAAAAATGGTATGGGTGCATACATTCACTTTTTAAAACGCGCTGGATTGTCGTGTACGGCACATTTATTTCGTTGGAAATGGAACGAATGCTTCTTCCCGGGTTTTCTTCAAATCGTTGTATAATTTCTTCATCTCTATGAATCATTCTCATATTTGGTTCACGTCCAGCATTTGGACGGTTGATGATTATGCTGCCTGTTTCGAATAATCTGATATCTATTCTTCTAATGATGTTTGCGTCTGGGTGACGTCTATGTCGATAAATTTCAGCATATCGTCTAGCAGCAACACCCGCTTGATTGTTGCACTGTCCAAGAACGAGCAACATTCGCAATATTCGGCGTTTGTATACTCCATCTTAATATTTATATCTTGCAAGCTGCACAATTAACGCTTTATAACAGCGTTGCTATTAGCAACATGCAAGAATATAGCAACAAGAAAGAATTACTGCTATTTTCACGCATGTTACTTTAAAAAGTGAAGATATACATATTACATTTAAAAGTGAATATAGCAGTAATTCTTTCTTGTTGCTATATTCTTGCATGTTGCTAATAGCAACGCTGTTATAAAGCGTTAATTGAGCAGCTTGCAAGATATAAATATTAAGATCAAACGCCGAATATTGAGGTATGTTGCTCGTTCTTGGACAGTGCAACAATCAAGCGTGTTGAAAACGATGTTAGCAGGTACGAGGAGAGAGGAGAAGTAGGGTTCGAGTTCTATTGATCTCAAGAATTATGTGTTATAATGGACTGCACTTTATTTGTTAAGCGGAAAAAAACAAATACGTTAGTATAACCGATGCGGTCTCTCGGTTCAAAAAAGGATCAAAAAACAATACAATCGATCATAAACTATATAGAAAGGAAAAGGCGCGGACGTCCTCTTGCGCGCCATCTACATGACTTTTCTTCGATCGACTTTCTACATCCTCCCACCTTGAGTTGTTCGAGATCAGCAACAACTCAATACTGTCATCACGGGATTACCGAAATCTAACCGGGGTCCTCACATGACGTCCGCTGCGAGTCGTTATGTTGAGTGGCTGAGTTGTAGGAGGAATGTTAGTGGATTCTTGCTGATTTATCTCTTTATCAAAATTTCTGTACCGGGCGTACCAGCTCTCCTGTCGCAGTCTTGAGTTTGACGACACGTACCTGGCCATCTCGGCTGGGGAAAACTTGAATAACTTTGCCTAAAGCCCAATTCAGACGTTTCAAATGTTCACTCTCGATGAGTACAATGTCACCCACTTGTATGTTTTGTGAAGTGGATCTGCCAGCAACCCTTCGGGACAGTTGACCAAGATATTCTATCCGGAATCTTCTTCGAAATTGTTCTCGTAACTCTTGACGATATTTTATTCTTCTCTTGAAGCTTTCAGCATCAGCCAAGGCGTCAAGGTCAGGAACTCCCGCGCTCTTCTGATCAAGTAAAAACAGAGACGGAGATAAGGGTAACAATTGTTCAGGATCATCTGCCAAATAAGTAATTGGACGAGAATTAAGGACAGCCTCACAGTCACAGAGGACTGTCGCGAGTTCTTCATAAGTCAATAAGGCTCGTCCCAATACTTTTCTCAATAATTCCTTGGTAGAGCGCACC